CAGAAATAAATTCATATCATAGATAGAAACGTACAACACACACACACACACACACACACACACACACACACACACACACACACACACACACACACACATATATATATATATATATATATATATATATATATATATATAATGGATGGACAGATATACAATTATCTAATTATATTTGCATGTCTATATATATGAATAATCATTGGGTCGTGAATTGCACAATTTCACCAAACCGGCCGTATACCAGTACTTCTCTGGGAACGGGGCCCTTACGTTCCCAAACCAAAGAGGAAGATCTCGGAGCGGCAGGAGGCCCGAGAGGTATGGAGCCATAGCTTAAAGGAGACCTGCCGGCACCGCGTCCTTCACAAAGGTTTATTTCTCTCACCCGGCAAACCAAATGGGCTGCAAGTCTAATGTTTACTCCAAAGCGAGTCATGGGAAATATAGGATACCTGCCTTGCCTGCATCACCGGGGTCGCGCGTGCAGAGTAAAACCAGGGTCTGTGGCTCTTTGCTAAGGAGGCTGGCATGAAATAAAAAGTCATTTTTCAACGGGACTTACTAAGGGTCGGAGATTGAGGGTTGCTGACACCTGCTGTCAGTACCTAGACCTGAATTGCTGGACACTACAGGGGTAAGGAAATGCTGGCCAGAAAATCAACATCCTTTTCTTCATTGAATGATTCTTCATAACTTTCAAAAGGGAATTACGAGTTGTGGTAGGAGTCCACTTCACACTCGGGTGTTTCATTTGGACAGTTTAACAGAAAAGTGTCCTCTGGGGGTTGCCGTGGCTCTTTCTAGTCAATTCATAGTGTTCAACTTGACAGTTTTTGTAGTACAATTGCACACCTTTAAACATTCAATATTTAAAGTAGCTCACGAGTCCAATAGTGATCGCCCAAAAATAACAGTTCTCTTACAAGCCATTTGTTGGTAAATGGCGTTTGTCCTGTCAACAAAGCCTGGGGAAATTGACTACCATGTCTTCGTCACAAGTGGCTGTAGAACCAAATACAGCACTGATGTCTGGACTCTATCCTGTGCTTTGAGTTCTCATTTATACACCTTTTGCAACAGGTCTTTACATCATATCACGGATACAGTTACCAAGGTTAAAATCCCTGTGGTCGATACACTCTGTAACGCAAAAAACCCATTACTCACTCAAACGACTAAATTTAGTACCCAGAGAATGATCCGGCCCATGTGAAATTAGAAACAAAACCATGGCGGAGATTTTGAAAAACGGTTTGGGAAAATGTAAGTTATATCGAGGAAGTCGAGATGGCTTTGGCCTACACTGGGCGCCTAGAGAGGCCCTCGTGGTTGGAAGCCATTGATGGATGTGACAATGTGTCCTACTCGGCATCACCCCCACTAGTTTGTCTTTATTGGGTTTATGCAATACAAAAAGTTACTTTTAATAGTTTAATTTTTAAAAAAATACATGTTTCCACATAATTTGAAACATCGAGTCTACAACAAATTGTTTCTTCTTAAACACGTAGGCAAAGAGCAGGCATGGCAATCTACCACACAAGTATAAAGGTAAATTAATCTACTTTTCAAAAAAAAAATCGGTAGTTTTAGCTTTCATCAAGTAAAAAAAAATCCTTGCATTAATAAGAAGATATTAAATAAAAAAAGAAGCATACATTGATCTTAAAACATATCAGATTACAAAACTAAAAAAATAGCTTCGTCTTGTTTACACACACTTTACCTTGTTTCTATTAGAAAGTAATAAATTCAGGCTGAAGTACGCTGCTTTTCAGTTATCCCGTTAAAAAAAAATATATATATATATATCAGGATATGTAAACTAGACGCTGTAGCAATTCAAGAAACAAAAAGAAAAAGAAAGGAGAAAAAGAAAAGACAAAAAGAAAGAAAAAGAAAAGTAAAGTGAGAAAAAAAACTTTTAGACAAATACAATTTTCACTTTACCTAGTTACCCATCTTCATGGAATTAAATACCAAACGATACAAACATTTACAAAATTTTCTTACTAGTTTTACAAAAGTGCAAATGACAGAAATAATATCTATTGAAGTAAAACTAGTAGCTAAAAAATCAGACATTCTAGATATTTAAATCAACAAAATAAAAACAATTATTTTTCATTACCAAACGCAAAATTAAAATAACCCTGAAATACAAAAAATAGCTTTTAATTCTTTGAGAAAATACAAAAAAAAAATCATTAATTATATCTTGCAGCTGACAGGGCTTTAAATGCAATCTCTGCTTGATTTGCAAGCAGTTCAACTTCAGATAATTCTTTATTCAATGACTTCAGCTGTTGACGCCACTCATTCATCTGTTCATTGTGCTGGAAAATACAATAAAAAAAATGACTAAAAGGGATAGCTGTGAATGTAAAAAAAATAGTCTCAAAAGTAAAATATCTAAAACCTATAAAACATAAAACTACATAAAATCTAAATGTACAATATGAGAAACCTAACGCAGGGTTTAATCATGTCAAAGCATCTATTTACAATAACAAACAAAATAAACATGAAAGAACAAATTAAGTCCTAAAAGAGAACACGATTTCCACTACGAAAACATATCCACAAATCAAAATAAATTATTCAGCTTACACGAGCTTGATTTTTTTCATTTAGCATCTCCAGTTTAGTTATGTTTCTTTTTACTAGCTTCTGGTAATCTTCATCAGCCCGTATTGTATAACAGAACTGGCGAAATTTCTGTGGCCAAAAAATGAACTTTATTAGAGTAAAAATATTTGTCCCTGATTATAATTTCAGGAAAATGCTTGCAGTCTTCTTTAGACAACAACAATTTGCAACAATTATCTAAAATCTGATGAATGTATAATTGCATTCTAGCAACGTGGAATCCATAATATTCATACTCTTACTACAAAGTTCGAAAGATTGAAGAGATAAAGTAGAAAACTGTAAAATTGTAAAACTTCATCTATTCCTAACACACTCTACCTCACCACCTTCCCATTCCAAAACAAACACCCTACCACACCATCTCACCTTCACTTCATCTCCACCCAACACATCTTACTTCACCATCTCACTCTCACCATACACCACTCCATCTCCACTTAACACAGCCTACTTCACCACTTCATCTCTATCTCGTCCATCGACTCACCACATCTCTAACAAACGCTAACTCACCATCTCACTCTCACCATATCACCACTCCATCGTCACCTAACACACCCACCCTTCCACCTCACACCTCGACCCAACCTCCAATGACGCCCTCACACTCTCCACCTCACACCCTGACCCAACACACCACACCACCCACCCTGACCCAATATCCACACCATCACACTTCCACCAACTCACACCCTGACCCAACCTCCACAACCTGACCCACCACACACGCCCTCACACCCTCCACCAACTCACTCTCCTCTTCTCCGCAAAGGCCACCCCTAACGACTCGTTCTGCAGGGTGAGTTTGCTGATGTAACCGTCCGTGGATTTACTCAGCAGGTTCAGGTTGGACTCGCACTGTGGTAGCTCGGTGGCGGGAGAACTTTGCTGGCGATTCTGCAACAGGGAGAGGGGGGAGGGTGAAGTGGGAGTTTGGGGAAGGGGAAAGGGGAAGGGGAAAAGGGGAAGGGGGGAACGGGAAGAAGGAAAGGGGAGGGAAGGGGGAGGGGGGGGGGTTGGGGAAGGGGGAAATGGGAAGGGGAAGAAGAAAGAGAGAGGAGGGGAAGGGAGGAAAGGGGAAGGGGGAAGGAGGAGAAGGATGAAGTGGAATGGGAAGGGGAGGAGGATGAGAAGGATGAAGTGGAATGGGGGAATTGGAAGAGGAAGGGGGAGGAAGAGAAGAGGATGAAGTGGAAGGAGAAGGATGAAGTGGATGGGGGAAGTGAAATAGGAAAGGAGAAGGAGAAGGAAGAGGAGAAGGATGAAGGGGAAGGGGAAGGGGAAAGGGGAGGGGAAGGAGGAGGAGAAGGGTGAAAGGGGGAAGGAGGAGAGATATCAGAATGAAGGGAAGGATGAACTTGAAAGGGGAAGGAGGAAGAAGAAAAGGAGAGAGCGAATAAGGGACGGGGGGAAATAGATGGATAGAGAAAGAAAACATCAAAATTATACAAAAAAAATATATTGTGCATTTTATCACACGATCAAGGGAAGACCATTGACTGCAACATTATCCGCACTTTTGGAGTTTCTTTCCCCTCTCTAGAAGATTATTTTTCGGCAGCTGCGACAACAACGACTCCATGGCTTTATCATTCGCAGATTCCTCCTCATATCTCCTTTCCATCTTTTTCAGTTCTTTCTGTAACGAAGGAAGAATAAGAACAAAAAAAGAAAGATAAAAATAACATCGAGTGGGGCTCCAGTTCGTATAGACATAGTCACTAAATTCCATGGATTTAAATTAACTTTTTACTAACTTTTTAACTTCGTGGCGTTCGAATCATTCTTAACGGAATGAAAAAGTTGAAATGACACTTTCAAAATCTATCTGGATTTTAGCTTTAGGTTTGGTCTCTTTTTTAGTAAATCTCCTAAATGAAAGATCAAAAGACATCGCTTCGAAATTCCACAAATAAAATAAATGAAATTTTACATTTTAATAGTCCCCTAATCATAATACAATCTACATATATATATATATGTGAATGAAGTGTCCATTAACCTTGCTAAGTCAATATGTACTACTGCCAATGTACTAACATGTACTGTACATATGAATAAGCGTATGTCCACGCGCGCGTGTTCGCACATACACATTCTCTCTCTCTCTCTCTCTCTCTCTCTCTCTCTCTCTCTCTCTCTCTCTATATATATATATATATATATATATATATATATAATATTATATGTGTGTGTGTGTGTGTGTGTGTGTGTGTGTGTGTGTGTGTGTGTGTGTGTGTGTGTGTGTGTGTGTGTGTGTGTGTGTGTGTATATCTCTATCTCATATCTATCTATCTATCCACACACACACACACACACACACACACACACACACACACACACACACACACACACACACACACACACACACACACACACACACACATGACGGCCCCAACATACCTCCTCCTCGACCAGGGTATTCCCCAACTGCTGGAGCTCCTGAGTCAAAATGGCGTTCTTCTCCTCCGCCAGCTCAGCCACCGTCTTCAGCCAGTCCAGCTCCGCTTCCTTGGACAGGCTCGCAGACTTCGGTTCCATCTTTCTGAACCGGACTGTTCAAAGGGGAAAGGCTAGATCAGTAGCAACGCGAGGAGGTGTCATGGCGTTTGTTTTGATGATCGTTCAGTGAAAATATAAGCATTGAAATCATTATTTTCCATCCATTTTTTTTTGAAAATTGAAGAGACCAAAACGATCGACCATATTCACCAAGCATCCGTAACTTTTGTGACGTCATCAAAATAAACCCCGTCATCCCCCCTGTGCTTTTTTTTTCTAAAAATAGAATCAGACGCCATGACACCTCCTGGAGCTGCTACTGAGCTAGCCTTTCCTCTGTTCAACGGTCGGGAGGAAAACGGAAGGTGAAAATCAGATAATCTTGGAAGTAATTGGTATTGGCAATGGGTAGGACTTTTTTGAGGTAAGTTGTGCATAGAGGGTTTAACTACGGAATGTTGATGTGTGTTCAGTTATATTTTATTTTTATGGTGTATTTACAAAACATGGAAATGTTTATTATAAGATAACAGCAGAAAAAATAATTACGATTATATTGTGTTATTCATTTTTTTTCATTGCCATTGCAACTATTATATTGATGTAGTTATAACCGAAATAACAAAATACATGCACTCTCTCTCTCTCTCTCTCTCTCTCTCTCTCTCTCTCTCTCTCTCTCTCTCTCTCTCTCTCTCTCTCTCTCTCTCTCTCTCTGAAATCCTGTAAGCCACGCCTGCGCTACCAATCAAAGCGGAAGGGTTAACTAGCCACGCCATCGCTCGCGATGACCTGCCCTACAACATAACGACACTCGACGACCTTTCCCTCTGCAGGTCTCCGCTCTGCCAGGACTCGGCCTCCTCCTGGTCTCTACCCTTGTCCGGGACCTGCACCAGCACGAAACACACGGCCGGTTTGTTAAAATTGTGCCAGGCCCGAACCTAAGAGTATTCGTATACCTGACATGCATAAATAAAGAAATAAATGCCTGTTCATCAGTCTAGACATGCATATCAACCTGGAAAATAGTTGGTTAAATGTATATCTATCAGGTATATAGACAGATATGCCTTTATTTCTGCATTTGTATGTATGAAAATTCATTGGGTCGGGCCTGGCACAATTTTAACAAACCGGCCGACAGCCTCCAACAACCAACATCTCAATAAACATAGAAACCAGAAACGTGTCTCCATACCCACCAAGTCGGGGAAACCCAAAATCCCAGACACACTCACTCCGACTCACTCACTCTCACTCTCTCGCTCCCACAACTCACCTGAGAGGCTGCATCGCATTCAGTGTCCAAAGGTCGGGAGAGAAGGCGGCTCTTTAGCATCTTCTTCCGACAAGCACGTCTGTTAACAAGTAATTAAATCAGTAATAATATTAAACAACACTCACAATGACATTTAAAATAATCATCTTCATATACTTGTAGACATCGACTTCTAAACACAAAGTGATCTTATTGATTTGACGAAGAATTGTATCTTTTTTATGTAAATTTGATTGGTTTGTTGTATCGCTGTTGCATTTCCTAACCTTCCTGATGCAGTAAGTTGCGCCAACAGTGCAGCTTCAAACTATGATCCAAGAGCTAAGTTTATGATATGCTAAGTGGGAAATTAAACATTGTTTTAGTTGAGAGGGAGGAGAGAAAGAGGGGGAGAGGGAGAGAGAGGGGGAGAGAGTGAAGGGGAGAGGAAGGGGAAGGGGAAAGGGAGGGGAGGGGGGAGGGAGGGAGAGAGAGAGAGAGAGAGAGAGGAGAGAGAGAGAGAGAGAGAGAGAGAGAGAGAGAGAGAGAGAGAGAGAGAGAGAGAGAGAGAGAGAGAGAGAGAGAGAGAGAGAGCAAGTGAAAGCGATAGAGAGACAGAGACAAAGACAAACAGAAAGACAAAGAATAACAAAAACAAAAAATGATCTTACCTCCAGCGAAATATAAAGCGAACAGGCCACATTGCACTGCTGTTCTGGTGACGTACTCTCTGCCATGACTCTTAACTGAATCTCCAGACTTCAGGCACGAAGAACAGGTCTTCCTTTATCAGCCTTTCACGTTTGCTTATCAATTAACTCTGCAACAAATATAAGAATTCCTTTATTGCTACTACAGGGCACCATGGGAAACGCGGCTCTCATAGTTGTGGAGTGTAGCAGGGTGCAAAGGTGGCGAATTATTATCTATATCCGTTTTCTTTATCATCTAATGTTTAGGGTGCTGTCACACTAGCACATTTTCAGTCATTTTTTTGACAATTTTATTTGACATAAATACACAGACATTCTCGAATATAACTTGATCTGACTATGCTTGGCTGAAAAAGTTGACGGAAAGGTTTTCAGACGGAAATGATCATTGACGTCTGACTGGAGAATCGACAATTCGCTCAAAAATGGACAAAATTTCTGAAAATTGTCAAAAAATTGACGGAAAAAGTGCTAGTGTGACAGCACCTTTAGAAAACGACAGAAAAGTGGCCAGTCCTGCATTACGCATAAAATTCACGTTCGTAACAGGGAAGGAAGGTGAAAAGTTTATTTGGGACACCACACGAAATATTTAGCCTGCGGCCAAATCAGCCACAGACGGCAATTTGCAGCTGATAATTGGCTACTTTTGAGAGCCATGGGGAAATATGGAGAATATGTTTGAGGGCACCTGACTAGCTGTTATTTAAGATATGAGGGGAAAGTGAGGGCGAGCGGGAGATGAGGGAGGGCGGAAGGAGGAAGGAAGAGAGGAAGGGTGATGAAAAAGTCAGGACGGAATGTGTGAGTGACGGAAGGAGGCAGAGGTGAGGGGAGAGAAAGAAGGGAGTGAGGAAGGGGGGAGAAAAGGAAGAAAAGAGGGAGAGTATGAGAGGGGTGAGAGAATAGAGAGGGAGGTAAGGAGAGAGAGAAAATGAGATAGATAAAGAGCTACTGTGACAGAGACAAAGCCGGGCATAAGGTCAAAAATACAGACATACAGGTAGACATAGAAATAGAGACAGCGAGCACAGAGGGAGAGGGAAGAAAAGGAAGAAAGAAAACGAGAAAGAGGGAGGGGGAGAAGGGAGAGGAAAAGAGAAAAAGAAAGAAAGCGAGAAAGAGATAAGGGGGGTTACGAGAGAAACAGGGGGAGAGGGTAGAGAGAAAGAAAAAAAGTGAGTAGAGACAAGTAAAACATGTATCTATATGTAGGCCTACTGTCAGTAAAGACCTATAAAAGGAAGAGAAGGAAAGGAGAGGGAAAGGGCAAAGGAAGGAAGAGAGAGAGAGAGATCGTTTTCCCCCTTCTGAAAATTTATGCATTCAATCATATAGTTTTTCTTCTAAATAGAATATAATATTTACTTATGATAAATCTGATATATAATAAATATATATAAATCTGATATATAGAGACGCTTAAAGTGAGAGCCAGTCCCCACTCCTTTGGCGCTCTGATAAAAGCCTCATATTTTCTGGCAAGAGTTTGTGGACCAATCTGGCAATCTGCTGTCATATAAGGAGCTAGTCTAAGGTCTATCTTGCCACAGTACATCTATGTAAGTACAGACCTTACCAGAGTATACATGGAGAAGGGTTTTGGCCTTTGCTAAAGTGCCGCGTAGGTGTATAGGCTTAGAACTCTATCTTTTTTTTTTTTTTTTTATCACAAATGAAAAATACAAATCGCTGTTGCCTTGTTTACCAGCTTCCACTTGGCAAACAAAACATCGATTTATTGCCTCTATTTTACTCCTTGTCAGCTCCTATACTCGATCAAACCGATATTAATAAAGCACAGAGCAATTATCGATCGTTATATTCATTCAATCAAATATATGTCACAAAAGAACCTATTTATAATCTCACTCGTATAGGTCTAACTTGCCTCCTCCCAAAAAAGCCCACGCTTATTTTTCTTCTTAAATTGCGTCTTTAGAGCTCAAGTTATAGTTTACAAATGCTCATCGAATATCTAATTTTCAAAAAAAAAGATCATTGAGTGTCAGAAATTGATTGTGCTGACCTCTCTCGCCAACCTTACTCTCTTAATAAAAAGCTGAAATGACGCCCCTGGGAGAGACAGCTTCAACTAATATTTTCTCCGGTTCAAAATAAACCTTTTCACCTCTGTTACAGTTCATATTACAAACGATCACATAATTTCAGCGTGAAAACATGAACTATGAAATAAAACACAACTCGCACCACATACTCCGACAAGGTAATAGTATTAAATATTACCTTCTTCCTCTCCTCTTCCACTTTAAAGGTTAACCCAGCATTATGAATGAGGATTACACGCCCTATTAATACCACTCGCCCAATGTTGAACAAATGTTGAACAATGATCAACCAAAAGAGAATTTGATGTCGAAACAATTGCTATATGACTTTCAGTAAAAAGTTTTCACTGAATCTCATGAAATGTGACTCGAAATCACAAGTACTCTAGAAATCAAAAGTTTCATCTTAGACTCATTTGCATCACATAAATATCATTTACTTATAAAATATATATGGTGTTTTTATACGTTGTCTATTAGGCCATTCCCAAATAAAGAAATTCACACGCAGTTGTTACAAGAACCGCCTTTTCCAAAAGCTCTGACCCTATATTGAACCCAAACTGTTACAGCTGCATGACTAAAACACACAAGGTTGCTATGTTTTTTTGTTGTTGTTTTTTTCACTGGTGCCGCTCTGTCCCTTTGGCTGAAGCCTTCTTTTTCAGCCTTGAAAAGTCCGCTGTTGAGCATGGGCCATTGCCAATCTGCGTCACTTCTGCCGGTCTTGTGTTGTAGTCAATAAGCCACTTAGAAGTTGGGGCCCATGCAATCGTTCATGTTTGTTCGTTTGTTTCTCTTTGTCTTCGCTAAGTTTATATCTTTCGTAGCGTGGGTTAGTTTGATTGTTTGTTGGTTGGTTAGCATTATAACTCAAAAGGTTATGAACCGATTTTTATTATTTTTTTACTAGAGGTGTGTCTTGGCCCAACTTACATGTTATTCATTCAATGGTGATGATCCGGATCCAAAGATTTTATTAATGGATTCATATGCGTTACGATATATGAACAACAAAACTTTTTATCGCTCAAATTATCATTATTAATAGAATCCTTCAAAGGTGAATCTTTTACCTGCCTTGGCGGAGGTATGCGCTGAGTGCTGGTTTGTGGGCAGGGCTAGATTATCCTATAGACTAGTGTAGGCTACAGTCTGGGGCTCCTCAAGCTTGAGGGGTCCTGCTAAAAGATTTTCAAACACACAATATATGTGTATATATAATATACATATACACATATATATACATATATATGCATTTTTTATTAGTACACTTTAATGTTTGCATATCTGAATATTTCATTTAACTTGAAATTTCAATTTAAAAATATAAGCTTTGGAGACTGAACACTCAATTTCAAGATTCGGTGCTCTCTCTGTAAGTCATGGTGCCCCAATCTGTATTAGAGGGTGACTCCATCTAAGGAATTCTCGAAAATCTTTGAGCTGGGTCCACAACCTTGATGGACCCTTAGCTACAACCTGGAGACCCCGGAAGATCATAATTCCTCCCTGAGTAGTACCTAGAAAAATCAAGGAAAGAGGTAGATAGTCCATCGTTTAACCAAAAGGATTTTTTAAACCCATTCATACTGATATGTTTATATACAGAGGACGCTCTAAGATTTTTTGAACCCATTCATACTGATATGTTTATACACAGAGGACGCTCTCCTCGATGCCAGGTGCTTGATTCCACTCGGTACACTGCCAGGTACATCCGGCCGTTGCTTGAGACGAAGAGGGTGAGTTACGGGACTTTCCCAAGGAGGATGTAGGTCGCCCTCGCTAGGAAGGGAAGCACCACCGTCCGGTTTGGAAAAAAACAAGCGTTCTGGCGTCTTTTACGCTAGACTCGGCTTATTTGTATTAAAAAGAAATTGATTTTGGTTATAGCTGATGCTACCGGGGAAGTGCCAAGTTACTGATCTAGGTCTTTTGGCGAGATCTTTGCAGCAAATTATGCTTCCCGCTTATTCCATTGTGATGTTACCTATCTCCGGTGGGATAATGCACTCATTTCATGTGAAAAAATAGTGAACTTTTAATAGAGTATAATCACACTATCTGAACAGTAGTTTGAAAGGGGGCGTGTTAGTTGGAAACTTTGAGCGAGTTAAGACCTTTAATTAGCGAGTTAGACCTACAAATCATATAGCTATTGCGAGCGTCGATTGCCCTTGCAGGTTGTCTCCTTGGAGCTGATACTGAAAGCGCCAATGACCAGCTTATGATCAACGAAATTGAAACTGAGAATCTGCAGGGGCGTACCCAAGAATTTTGGAAATGGGGGGGGGGCGCACGAATGGAGGGTCAAAGCCCAGCCACAACTGCCGGGGTCATGAAGTGCTTTGAAGGAGGTTTTGAGGCCCTCCAAACAGGAAATTCTGAAAAGTGAAGATCATTGGATATTCGCTTTGGCAAATTTTTCGTTCAAAAGCTTCGGCTAAAAAAAAATGTTCTCAAAATTGAGCAGATCCGCACCTGATCCTCAAAATAATATATAAAAAAACAGTAACTAAATGAATTAAGGAATTAAATCAACCGAAATATCCTGGATTAACAATCAGTATCGAGAGACGGTCGTATGTTTAAAGAAACCATGTAATGCAAATCAGTTCTGGACTCAATTTCTTTATGCTAGATTCTCCATAATTGTAGGAAGTCTTAACGTAACTTCAGGACTGTCACTTTCAAAAATACAATGTTCTTTATCCTCTTGCTGCCTTAGTTTGGTATACCAGTTGATTTTTGTGGCATTCCTGAGAAGAAGAGGATTTTGCGGGATTGAAGTGGGTTCCACAATTTTTTAAAGCATACGACCATAAGAACCAAAACAGTGATACAAAAGCTTCCTTTGATACAATTTCTTAAAGCATTAATGATCAAAGCTTATACAATTCCTTAAAGCATACGACTAAAACAAAACAGAGTGATACAAAAGCTTCCTTTGATACAATTTCTTAAAGCATACGACCGTAAGAACCAAAACAGAGTGATGCAAAAGCTTCCTTTGATACAATTCCTTAAAACATACGACTATAAGAACCAAAACAGAGTGATATAAAAGCTTCCCTTGATTTAGTTCAGCAACTTGCAACCGAATGGAAGCCCAAATCTTAAATTTCTGAAAACAAAAATGGAAAAGTACTAAAGCAAATATATATTGCTGAAAGGTGGCGGCAATTTTAAGAAGGATTGTACGAACCACAAAGAGGTGTTTCAGGTGACACTAACAGCTGAAACACCCCTTATTTGGGAAGAAATGAAACAAGCTGTTAAAATCCTGAAGTCTGATAACTTCCCAGTAGATTACATGATTGACTTGGAGCTCAGAATCGGTTACATCCTAATTACATTTCTGCCCTAGTTTTGTGTTAATTAGGATAGTCTGTTGTGCGTGTCTGTGTAATTATCTCAGTCTACGTTGCTGGACTCCGTAAAATATTTCAACTTTTAGTGACACATATATGTATGTATATAATGTGTGTATATATATATATATATATATATATATATATATATATATATATATATATATATATATATATGTATGTGTGTGTGTGTATACATATATTATATATGTATATATATATATGAAAATGAACTAGCACAATGAGAATTGAAATAAGCGTGACGTTTCGAACTCTTCGCGAGTTATCAGACAAAAGAAATGGATCCATTTCGGTTTTTGTCTTCACGTGATTGTGTCTGTGCATATATATATAATATATATATATATATATATATATATATATATATATATATATATATATATTTAATGTTTAAATAAATACGCCAGACATCAAAGGTCGTATAGCACTAATGTGTGTGTAAATATATTTACTTGGCAAATTGACAGACACACCTAATAACAGCATAAATGAATACGTAGAAATATTCTTGAACGAGACAAAAGTAAAAAACATGCTCCTTATGTAAGAATAAATAAAAGCGAACACGCAAAAAAACATGACATTTTGGAATTAACAGCAAAAAATACGTCTATATACATTCAAATAACAAAGGATTAAAGGAAATCAAAGTATTCACGAAATGGCGATGGAAAGAGAAAATGAAAAATGTGAAATGGATTGAAGAACAACAGAAAACAATAGAATAAACAAACAAGAAATTGCGACTAGATCGGAGGAAATGATTCCGGGCGGTAGTGTCAGTTTAGCGATTTCTTGCTAGAATGTATCGGTTCAATCTAGCGAAAAACATTTATATACTAATGGCAACTTTTGTAGAACTAGAATACATCAGGGTTTTAGATCTGAGAATTAAGTAAATTTTGAACAAAAGTATAGCATTGAAAGAGCAAGAGATGCAACAGTAATATCACAAACAGCATATACCCCTTGACATGTCATTCACCTCTTTTATAACTCGAATTCCACTCCTGTCATGTCACTTGAAATGACGACCACGTGTAGGATCTGACTCACCTCAGCTTTATGGACTCTGAGGGCACCTCAATTCTGGAGTGAGGTGCCCTAATTTGTCTGTGGATTTACAATCTCCACATTCAATCTCATTCAAATTATAAAGATCTATCTATGAAGGTAAAGTGATAGTTCAGGGATGATATATTATATATACATAATATATATATATATATATATATATATATATATATATTATATATATATATGTGTGTGTGTGTGTGTGTGTGTGGTGTGTGTGTGTGTGTGTGTGTGTGTGTGTGTGTGTGTGTGTGTGTGTGTGTGTGTGTGTGTGTGTGTGTGTGCATATATAGATAGATATACATATAGAAAGGCAATGATTTTATTTTAAAAATGTGTTCTGTTCTTATGATTATCTTTATATTAGGCCCTGAAAGTTGGTTATTATGATTTTTACATAGTTACACAGTCGATATGACTTCTTGATTGTTGTTTTTAATGAACTTGATAAAAGCGATATGCTATGTGCTTTAGCTCTAAAACATCTTCACCTTTATTCTTATGATGGATATGTTTGTATAATATTTTGTGTATAACACCCAAACTCAGATATCTATCTTAAGGTGAAAAAGATTGAGCCGAAAGCGAACGGATTAGTGAGGTGTGTTCATTTGATAATACCCATAAAGATCAAAGTAACAAACAGCATTTAAGAATATACAATGTCCATCTATGAATGAAAAAGTATATATCTAGCGGACTTTAGCGCTGGGTGTAGCAGGAACCGCGACCGCTCGATGGCAACACTGACGCCGCCATTGTGAGGAGGAGACGCCACGTTACAACTCACCAAGCGTCGTTTCTTGTCTAATTTGAGTGGCTTCCGGACCGACTAATACAACGAATATACGCTCGGTGCTTGCAGAAGGTAATGGAGTTCAATGCATTGCGTCAGGTTCGGCTCTAGATCCCCTGAGAGAGAGACAAAGAGAAGGAAAAAAGAAGCGAGGATTGTTTATCCCAAAAGTTGTGGGTGCGTCGCCCGGCATCAATAAGCCAATGCGATTTATTTCTCTTTGTGTCTCCGTCTTGGCGAGGTTTACCCACCGTCTTCCACGTTCCTCGTTTCTTTAGAGTAATTCCACGCCTTTAAACCTCTTATCTACATTTCCCAAACATCGTTGTTCTTTTCCTATTGTCATTGTTGTTGAATGGTTACCCCCAAACACCTCGTCTCTAGCTCACTTTATTTCGTCATAGGTTGTTTGTGGTGGAAGTTTCTCGTTGGCAATCTGTCATGCCGATACTGTGGCGAAGTTTGGTGTATTTACAGGTTCCTTTTCTTTGTTTTAGCAATTGAACTTGTCATGTTTTAGTACGAGTGAATCTAACACGTAATTTGTGCTGTACGCTGTATCTTATCAGTAGTGACTAATGTATCGGCACCAACTGTTGATAGCAGTGTTTAATATCGAAAATAAATGAATTGAGATGCTGAGATGGTGTTTTATCTAACTGTAGGAAATGGGTGTTATAATGGTCAGGTGTTTTATGTTGGGGAATGTGACTCACTGAAAATATCCAGAATTTTTATTGTCTAATGGTATTAGAAGGAATGTGATGTTCACTTTCTTGTTAAACTCTGTTTCTGATAGCAACCCAACCCCCCTCCATTCAAAAGGTTTGTAAGGCCTATGGAAATCATGGTTTTGTGTGGGGAGAGAGTACCATTGTTTGAAATATTTGACTTCAGCGCTCACCTGAACTTGGATTTTGTTACAATTTACTCACCTACATGGTTTCCTGTGTACATAATGATTGCAGTTATGTCTGTACCTCGTAGCACTACGGTATTGAAAGTTGTCAAACATCCTCCACACATTCTCGAAGGTTAGGACCTAGTTTGGTTCCTTGAATTGATTATAAACCACCTGGGTGTGTCATCAATGCTTAACTTGTACTGCAGCCAATACAGCAATTACACATCTTTCTGATGCAAGAACAGGCTATGAACCGCTTCAATAAGCAAACTGTAACAGGAACCCAACGTCAAAAATTATGGGAATTAACACGTTCCTAACATCTCAAAAAATGTATTGACCAATAAACCAGCCTAATCTAACGATTTAAGTTGCCGTGACTAGGCGTGCCCGAACAGACCTAGGGGAGGGTTGATGGAGGGGCTCTGTCCCCCAACACCCCTCCTGGGAAACATTCTCTTCACCTTGGTATGAACGGCATTCATACTGTGAAATGATAAACCAAATACCTTTTTGTCTGGAAATGTCAAACTTTCATTCGCTTTATTCTACTGTCTGGATTGCTATGATTTTTTTTTTTTTTTTTTGGGGGGGGTATTAAATAACCCAGAATCAATGCAACACTGGATATGCAACATTTCTCACTGGTCACTTGTGGAGGGGCTGGCTTTGAACTGTCAAACCTCGCAGCCAGCGACTGAAAGTCTGAAACGTACAATGCTCATATCACTAAATAAGCATATAGATAAATCTTAAAACACATAAATTAAATATTATAACTTTAATAAAAGACTTTAAAAGTATAAATGTGTTGTAGTAGAAAAAAAAAGTATATGGGATTATTACCTTTACATAAACTAAGACACTTTTCATTTATGGCATAAGGTGTGAAAACCGAAAATAAAGAAGATACATGACAGAGAAGAGAGAATATCGACCCATCTTTTTCAAAAAATGTTCTTTGCCTTGTTTACATCAGGAATGTTTACAATACTATGACCTCTTAACTCATTCCTGCGATCTGTCAACTAATTTGTGTATTAGTACATGCTTGTGAAGACGATTTTGTTAATTTCAATGTCTGATTTTCCTAATCCATGTATTTTAGGCATTACTTTGTTTTTGATAAAAAAAAATTGTGTTTTTTGATAGTTGTACACTATTTACAAAAACCTAATGTGAATTTACACTTTCCAAAACGACTTTTAAGACTTCGTGATTGCCATTCTTTCACAAAGCAATGGTTAGGAATGTTTTGTTTTCAGTATTTTCAATTCCGGGTTCTCTATAAAACAACATAGTGTTATGCAGAAGAAATAGACCTTAGTAACTATAGCAGCTTGACGTGTGAGCCTGTAAAGTGCCCCAAATTGCCGGAAATAGTGATTAGAAACCAAGCCATCCAGAAGTAAAGGAAAGTTCGGTGTCTTGAGATATAAAGGTGTTTGGTTTATTCTTTAAGGTATGCATGCGAAGACATATTGTGTGGGGTTTGTGGGGATGGAGCCCCTGGGTTCGGAAAGATTTTGGTTCATATGGCAATGTTTGTGGATTCCCTGAAGTGCCTCGAAGATTGTTGGCTGGCTTAAAAGGGACTTGGTCTTAAAGGGGTACAGTTATCATCATGAAACTGTTAACAGTACTTTCACTTATTTCCAGCACAGGTCACTGGCGATGGAAGACTGTAAGGTTCATGTATATTCAATTAGATTTTAAGGAATCTTTTAGAGTATGGACCTAGTTGTCAGACACTACCAAATCCCCACCTCCATTTCACAAAATTTATTTTACAAGCTGAGTTGCCGTGACTGGGCGTGCCTGTCAAAGTGGAGTGTTGATAGGGGGCTGTTCCCCAACACACCCTGGCAAGCATTTTTTTCACCTTGGTATGCGCAGTAAGAGTTGAAACTAGGGAGTGCCAAATGGTCTTCGGCTCTGAAAAGAGCTTTGCAAAATCTTTTCCCTTTGTAGCTTTGCTGTTCTTGTCTGCAGATTATAGCTTGTATCAACAACTACAATTTTTTGTCATCTACAAGAAAATCATCGTCAATTTGCGGTATCATCCAAGCCTAGTATGCCCATATCATCAATTTTAACTAATTTAATGAAAAAATGTATGATTAAAATGGTGAATGCTATTGGATAATGAATAATTTTAGATGAGAATATAAAATTACATAATTAGTACCAAGTAATTTACAGCTAGATCATATGGAAATGCAATTTCTGCTAAACTCACATGTAGAGTAGGGGGACAATATTTTTTTGATACAGTACATCGAGGATAAGAGCATCCCAGAAGAATGCTGTGGTACTCTATCAGTTACTGATTGTATATTTTTTAGTCTTATTGGCTGTGATATAATAAGTACTTACCGATATCCATTTGAGGGATTTCTCATTATGCGTCATGAATGTGAATCAGAATAATACAACAACAAATAACTGTACATGATAGGAATACATTATGAAAGAGTATTATGTGTACTGGAGTCCTAACATACATTGGTTTGCCTAAGCATATAGTCTATACTCATTCTTTCAATAATTCTTGTTAATTGTTACATTGTGGATGACCTAAGCCACCAGTCAGCCCTCCCAAAGGGCAGACCCAGTCATGGCAATTTAATGAATTACAATAATACCAAAGAAGAGTAATACCTACATTTTTATTAAAGTTGATACAAGAGAGAAATGCGAGTGTCATGTCCTGAAACATTGTGTACTTATTTCTTACAGTACACAAGTTTGGAGGGGTGGCTGTGAGTTTGTGGCAGATGCAATGGGAATGAGGTTGTTATTCACATGTAGAAATTAGAGGATCATTACCTTTTTCATCTGCTATCTCATCTTCATTTTCACCAGATTTCTAGTAGAGGAATCAGGAATATATCCACTTTCTAGCTTCCATTTTTTAAAGTTCATGAAAAAAGGTCTTTCCAAAAGTAAGCTCAACAGTCCCTTAAGTGCTCAATTTAACTTGTTTGTTTACAACTTTCATTCATTTGATTATTTCTTGTCTTCTTGCCTAGCATCAACACAATATGCTAATGCTTAGCTTTGGGTCTCATCATTCTTTAAAATTTGGCAGAGGGGAGGGTAATGATAATCGGTTTGTGGAAAATTTTGACCGAAAGCCAGCTTGACAAGGTTTCACCCTGAGATATTGTTACGAAGTGGCAAATGACTAGGACACCTTGCCATGAGTACGCAAAGATTTTGAAAGGAGATTAGAGGCTCCCTAAACCAGGTGAATATGGGAGGTTTTAAAAGTGTGTAGCTGGAGGAAACTTGCCAAAGAGGACCAGAATTACTTCCTCACACTCCATAATTCTATTAACCAAGAGAGAGAGAGAAAGAGTGCGAGTGCGAGTGAGTCCACACACTTTTTGAGAATCTGTGTTCACGTGAGTCAGCTGAGATTGAAAGTCAAAAGTGTCATAGGAATCCTTACTTATATTGGTTATTAAAAACCATTTTTCATTCTTACAGGATGCCAGGATATTACCATGAGGACCAGTTTGGGTCAGGGGGTGGCGGCAGCAGCCGTTACAGGTAAGGCTGTTTTCCTATTCCTTTGTAGCTTATGTCTGTGATGACCACTGCAGCATTGAGCTGATGTCATTCAGTGGATTGAAATATAGTTTCCTTCCCAGTTGTAGATGTTCCGAACTGTGAGTGGTCTACTTTGACTACTTTTAAAACTAAGATTTAAAGGACTGTTTTGTAAAATGCTGTTACGATTTGACTGCCCTTGTCAAGCTAGTTACCAAAGCATTAGTATTAGATACTTTAAATATATAATATTCATAAATTTGTGAAATGTTCTTTTATTAACCAGTGAAAATCTGTATAACCCCTGATTCCAGTTAAGATCCTTAAAAATAAGTGTGAAATCCCCTGGCACACAGTTCAAATCACTTCCAAGCCTAAGTCATCTGGGGTATTGTGATACTAATTCCTTCTTTTCTGCTTGTTGTAGAAGTGGGAGCAACAGAGGTGGCAGAGCCAGTGGTGGCTATGGTCGAGGGGGCGGAGGTGGGGCCAGCGGAGGAGGTGGAAGCTACAGTCGCGGGAACTACAGCCGTGGAGGAGTGAGCAACCACAACCCACACTATAGTGGAGGTGGCAGTTACAGCAGCAACAGGCACCATGGAGGGGGCAGCCACAGTGGCACTGGTGGATATGGGGACGGAGGCTATGGACGCACAGGCCATGCTTCTAGCCAGGGCAGGTATGTTCTGTCTGTGTTCAGATTTTTTGTAATTTTTTTCTTCTCTTTATAAAGTTTTGAGTCTTCATTTATAATGTATGCCTCTTCTCCTTTCTCTTTCTCCTTAACATTTTTCTCTATAAAGTTGTAGTCTCAGGGTGGAATTTACTTGTGTGGTGCAGTTACACAAGTCTGTCTGTGTGGTCATGTGCTCACAAGTATGGTATGCAGTATGTTGAAGTGTACTATTTGTATATGAAATACTTGGTTCATGTAATATTGTTGTGGCAACATTGCATATATATAGAAGTATTGATATGCAGATGTGAAAGGATTTTGAATAATACATTTTCATAAAAGATATTCATATTAGATATTACATTATATTAGTGGTCTCGCTTTTATGCATATTTTTATCTGCTTATAAGTTGACATAGTTAGAGATATAACAAACAAGAATATGAATGTAAAGGTAATATATAATAAACAACATGGTTAGAAATATATTATGAAGAAGTTGAAAATCTGAAAAATAAGTTGTTACCAAACTTTATACTGTTGAAATGTCGTATCTGATATTTTCAGTCACTTTTTATTCAATACATGGTTTGTCTAAGTTCTTTTTAATAATACTATCTCTGCTGAAAACTAATTAAAGGGAGCCCAGATATTCCTAGCATTACATCCTGGGAAAGTTTGTGAGTTACAAGGGATATGTTTGTGAAAGTCACCAGAGTGACCTTGCTATATGTGCTTGTAATAGCTGCGCACAAAATCTGTTGTATATTTGATTTTGCTACTTCTCATAATGGGAGCCCTTGGCGCTATAATTGAATCTGCATCGGGGTGCACTTAGTCAGTTGCTCAAATAGTGAGGCTAAAAAGAGGCTTTAAGTCTATTTTGAGAAGCTTTTTCTCTAGCATCACCAGCCATGGTCAAACAAGTGCACAACTGAGAGAGGGCTCAATCACACAAGACATAAAGATGTTATTCTGTCATGAGTAGGTGAATGGGTCCCAGTGAGTCTTGCATCCTCACTCAGATTTGTACAAGTAAAATTGTGAGAAATTATGTAAGATGTGTATATACATTATATATCATGGAAGAGGGCAACACCATTAGCTTTATAATGTACACATAGCTCTCAAGGTATATAGTGATACAAGAACAAATTTACCCTCTTCTTTCTGTAGGCTTATGTCATGCTATCATTATTGTTTACTATGCAGACTTGAAGCTATGTGGCAAAAAATTAGCACTTGGTACCTCATAATATTTTCTGTGAACTTTATTAGTGCATTATATGAAATAGAAACAAATGTGCCAGTTACAGGTATCTTGATCAATAAACTAATTATAAAACTGTATAAGATGGCAATTGCTGAAGTTGCTGGTAGTTCAAGCCACAGATTTTAGTAGCTAAGGAGTGAACATGCTATATTGCCAGGTCTGGCTGAATGAAAAGTTCTTGCATATTGCTTTGCATAGTGATTTGCTATTGTACCTATGTGTAGCCAGGTGCTAGAATTGTAAAGCTATTCCAGGAAGAACTGGACAAGATAGAAAAGGGAGAATAACTTGTAGTGGGCCTGTCATCACTGTACCCCCTCCCCCTCGACATGCAATCTTGGAGTAACTAGGATGCTGGACCCAGTACAGTTGTATAGAAATCTTTCAACATGCAGATGTATCATAAGAATGCCACAAGATACTAAGATCCAGTTGTACACTTTTGTAGTCAGTTGGGGGGGGCTGAATCTCAAACAGATCATAAAAATTACTGCTGTTTCTTTTGTAATTTTTAAAGAACTATAAAGCAAAAAAAGAGGAGGGAGAGCAATCATTGCCGTTCATAAATACCATTCATTAATTTTATGTATTATTGTCACTGATTTCCTGAAACTTGTTTGATTTTTAAAAAATTATAATGTTAATATTGTAAAGAAACAACTTCATGAGATAGATCTGAATACCACAATGATTTCAGTTAACCATATTGATTTGGGTAACCCATGCTCTATGGTTTGCTTAGTTATCTGGCAACCAGGAGAGGCTTGTTTTGACACATTGGCTGTCTTGTTAGTTAGAATGGCAAGTTTGATATATGACACATTGTATTGCTTGGTTCCCTATCCTCTTGTCTTTTAATACCAGAAGTTAAAAAAAAAAAAAAAAAAAAAATTGCAAGCCAGCCATACACCTGCATCATTGTTGAAGTCAGCTACGACATCACTACATGATATCCATAGTGCAAATAGGTTGTATATGACATCACTGCATGTCATTTGTAGAATTTTGCTATGGCATCATTGTATGCCATCTTCTGTGAAGAAGTGAAGGCACTGATAGCACCAGAAAAACAAGGTTCAGAAATTATCCAAAGCAAAAATATACACAAAATGGTACACAGTGATGGGCTAAAGGGCAATCTGTGTTATATTGCTTATGTATAAGTTGCCAACACATCATGACATACACATACGGAAGTCAAGATTGAATTTTCCCCTGAATCCGTATGTCTGACCAGAATGGTGCAGTTAACTCAGTAAAGAAATCTGGCCAAAGTTCTGATGTCAGTTTTTTTCCTGTCATTGAAAATATTTTCATTTAAAATGCATGGTAGTATTAGTCTTAAATGTTATGTAAAGAGTTGTTTGTAGTATATATTTTTTTGTTAGTTTGATTCTGTAGTTTGTTTTCATGTTTTTAATTTTCATTTAATTTTTGTTTTGTTTTACAATAGTTGGTATATTTTGTTGATATTTTGTTTTTATCTGCCTATGTTTGAGAATATACACTGAAACCACCATAGAACCAATTTAAACAAGTGTGCCTAAACCCCCCCAACTTTGCATATTGATTGCAGATCTCCAAACAGGTACAGCGGTGGCATGAACTCAGGCAGCATGATGGTAAACCCTTGGGAGAGCGGCATGGTGCCCACAGCTGGGGGAGGCAGCGGAGGCAACGGGCTTCTGCCAACACCAGGAGGTTCAGGGGGTAGCATTGTGGGGGGTGGGGGAGGGGGCACATCCAACCTGCTGGGTTCCCTTAGCCAGCTCAGCCAGATGGGCAATAACGAATCCAAACTGGCGCTCAACATACTCAATGCCGTGCTGTCGTCGGTAAGTTTGGTTTTCGTCTTTGTTGCATGCATGGTCAGATTTTTATAGTGGAACCCTTTGTTTTTTGTTTTTTGTTTTATTTGATTTGTCAGTTTATGATTTTACAGAGGATTACCTTAATAGTATAGATTGATAGTTACAAAATATTTCCGATGTACTGTCTTGCAAAGTTTCAGAGTAAGTGCTGAATCTGTGCACCAAATTTGGAAACTGCATAGGAATGGCTGGAAAATTTTGCATTGGTAGATACACTTGTCTATTAAGGTTACACACCAATTGAAATTTGAGAAAACAATTGAATTTTTTGCTTCTCAGGTTTAGCCAGGGCCAACATTCTCTAACCAGCTTGACATTTTTGTCTTCTGGGCGTCAAAGTGTCGTACCCAGTTTGGTGATTTCAGTTGCTCTTATCTCTCGCTCTCTCTCTCTCTCTCTCTTTGGTTCTCTTTCTCTCTCTCGATCTTTCTCTCTGTCTTTCTCTCTCTCTTTTCTCTCTACTCTCTTCCAGTCCTCTCTCTCTCTCTCTTTCTTTCTCTCACTTTTCCTCTCTCTCTCTCTCTTTCTCTCATTTTCTCTCTCTCTCTCTCTATCTCTCTCTCTCTCTCTCACACACACACACACTTCCATCCCCCCTCCTCTCTCTCTCTCTCCTCTCTCTCTCTCTCTCTCTCTCTCTCTCTCTCTCTCTCTCTCTCTTCTCTCTCTTCTCTCTCTCTCACACACACACCCACACACACACACACTTCCTCCCCCCCTCCTCCCCGCTCTCTCTCTCAACATAAAACATTCATAACTACAATCCAAAGCCATCCATATCACATTGAAGCCGCGCCTGCTCTCTGGACACTTACAGGATGAACAGTAACTACTTCAAGCTTGAACTTCTTCGGAGGAGGACCTGAACGGGGTCTCTTCGGCGGAGTGAGTGGAGTCAGATTTCCAGGTTTCTCTCCCCGTCGGAATCGTCCTCGCAACCGACGCACACACGCGCACACACACAAGAATGTTTTGTATTTGTGTACATATGTATGTATATGTTATATGTGTATATGCATATATATATATAATTATATATATATATATTTATATATATATATATATAATATATACATATATATATATATATATATATACATACATAATATATATACATATAATATATATATATAATATATATAGATATATTACTACATGTGTCAACGTGTATATATATATATATTATATATATATATATATATATATTATATATATATATTAATATATAATTATATATATATATATGTATACACACA